GAGAAGACCTCGCTGATCATCCACCCTGGAGTTCTGAGCCCTCGTCAGCATGTCCAGGAACCCTGGCATAAACAAATCATTGTTATTGTTGCCCTCTTGTTCTGATAAACACATAAATGTAATATAATCTGAATTTCCCGGAGGAACCCATCCGAGGGATTAATAAATAGTTGATATATTGACAATAATCTTGATAATAAACAAAGAACAGAATTTCAATAATAATATAAAACGTGAGAAAAAAAACCTGCCAGTGGTGCTACCTATCCCACCCCCCCCACCCCCCGCCCCCCCCCTCCTGGCAGAAGTACCCACTGCATTCCATTGGTCGAGGTCACCAATTCAAACTCATCCAAGACTTTTAGCGGATGCATCTATGGTATCAGTTATACAAATTATACAAGGCATTGTTCTCAAGATATCAGAATCCCAAACCTGTGTCCATGCCACCCATCCAGCAAGTGACAACAATACCCCATCAGCCTTTTAAAGCTGAGGGGTAAAAAGCAAAAACGCATACGCCTCAAAATCCCCATCCTTTTTAGATGGGTTGGCTAATAAAGATAGTCATACAACTTTACAATGCAACAATCCTGTATATTCTGGGTGATGGAAAGAGGAGAAAAAAAGGCACCCACATCTACTGACTGAACGAGCCCTGCGATCATCGCAAATGAGACAAATGAAATGCCCGGGGTTAATTCATGCACTCACCTCCTTTCCTCTCTTTTCTCCTCTCAGTACAGTAGGCGTGCAGTGGGGTAAATGACACTCCTCATCTCACTGCTGCTATGGTGTCTGTGAGAGAACACCCCTCTCTGCCCATACAATGCCCCCCCCGACGCACCACTCACTGATGGATGGAGTCAGTAGCCAGCCAGCTCCCCCCCCCTCCTCCTCCCTCACACACGCACATCCAAGACTACCACCAGGTGTGTCACTCAAAGCTCTGTGTGCTAATGTCTCCAGGCTGGCAGTGGGAAGCTGTGGGTGTGACAGACAGGTATTGTACACTGCACATCAATGCTGACGTCCACAGCTCTCATCATTACTTTAGGTTATTTCAATGACAATCACATTATACCAGATGATGATGCATGTAAGGTGGCTTGACTGAGATACTTTCAAAACATGTACTCTGAAATATGCATAATGCTGACATCATTCATGTTGATGATTATTACTTACTGATGAGGCTAGAATGCCAAAAATATGCATGTTTTGTTGCACTCTGACTGTTTGACTTCAGTCAGAGTGCATATACATATACATATACACACATACATATATATATATACGCACTCTGACTGAAGTCAAACAGTCTACTATTCTGGGCTCCAGTTCTGCCTAATCTTACAGGAAGCATTTAGCCCAGGGCTCATAAAGAATGAATAGGAA